AGGCGCCCAGTAGAACTTTTCCATACGTCCATCACGGATGAGAGGGGCATACAACGTGGAGAAGTCATTACCGGTGACTATGATGGGAACGCGGGGATTCTCCTGCTTGTTGTACATGCCAGGGAGTTGGACATTGGTTGGGTTGTCAGCAATGTTCATGAGGGTAGCATTCACCATTTGATTGTTGACAGTGTATTGAGTAGTTCCACCAAGTCTTCCAGCTCCTGCATCTAGATCATTGATGAAGAGGCAGCACATTTTGCCCTTGCTGATGATGTCTGCTGCCTCACGGTACCTTTGCCTGATCAGTTTTGCTGGCTCTCCAGCATTTCCACTTTCCAATTCTCCAGCACTCATCATAATAGGGCTGAGAATTCATTGTCATTGTTAGATATTTTACTATAAAAGCATTTGAACTCAACTCTTTTCTAAATTCAGCAATGTTCATGAGGATAACAGATTTTCAATTGGCTGCTAAAGTTCTCAATTTATAACCAAAAAGAAAGAAGGGCACAAAAAATGTATACTCACTTGATTCCCATTTTGGCAAAGACAAGCTCACATTGGAATGACTTTCCTTGACCTTTGCCTCCCCATACACCCAAAATAAGAGGAACCTGTTCCAAATTTTTTAAGCATCCCAATCAATTAACCAATATCTATAACCTACCCAGAAGAATTGGAGTTTTTGATCAAAATTTAACAAACCTTAATGTTTGGCAGGTTCAAAAAGTTCTTAGTAATGTGAACAACAAGTTTGTCCATGAAAGCTGGAGCAATGTAGTAGCCATCCATAATGTTGTCCAATCTGAAAAAAAACATGAAACATTAACCATCCTATGACTTTACATGGGATCAAGTTCATATGAAAATTTGACTTTGAAAACTTGAAGAGTATACTTACTGGCGAAGACCAGTGCTGATGTAATCATAGGAGCTCATGACTGCATAGTGGGTCCCGCTACCCATAGGGGCTTGGAAGAGAGTGTCCACCATGCCCTTTCCTCTGGTGATGTCCTGCTGGTCATCTGAACTGTCAAAGGCAAGCCCTCCCCACCTGTCTTTTGAGGTCTGCTTTTCCTCATCATATTCTGCAGAAACCTTGAAATTCCCAGATGAAATCTTTGGGTGAGTGATCTTGGAGGTGGCCTTCTTCAGGCTGTTGCCTAAGAAGGCAGAGCTTGGATAGGAAGATGCAGCACCTGAGCCATTTAACTTCAACTGCACCAAGAACACTCCATTTTTCAGAGTAAATCAAACAGACCCAGTAAAGGAAAAAAACCTCTTATCACAACTTCAAATCATATAATTCAAACACAAAATTTCAGAAAAAGAAAGAAAGTTTGTTCTACCAAATGAACAGACACAAAATGAAAGAGAGACGAGACGATCGAAACAATGAGAAAGTTTACAATTTAATGATTTAATCGATGAAAACAGAGGAAAACAAGAGTTGGGTTTGTTACAAAAAGGGCGGGAAGTTCATAGTACCGGTGCTCTGTTAACAGCCGCGATGGTTGCTGAGATTGAAGCAGCCATTGATTGCACAAGTCAAAAGCTTGAAGGGTGGAAATGTTTGAAGGAACAAGATGAAGTCTTTAAACAGAAATAAAATAAAACTGAAACTGTTGTCGAGCGTTGTCTCTTGGGAAGGAGAGAAAGGCAAGGGAGAAGAATTTATAGGAGGGAGAGAGGTTTTGGAGTGAAAGTGAAATGGAAATGGAAATCAAGGGAATTGGCTTACGAATTTCCAACGGCCACGGTGATTGGCGGTATTACGTTGCTCACTGTATCCTGGTGAGGTAAAGGACGTTGGTTTTGGACATGTGGGAGTATCTACAATCATGCTCTCTATTTTTTAGCTAAAATTTAGCTAAAAACATATAAGAGCTATTTTAGGAACTCTCTATAAAATTTTAACTTCAATCATACTCTCTAGTTTAGGGAGTCAAAAATGCTATAACTCTTTTTTAATTGGTCAATCTCTATATAAAAAAAATTAATTAGCACTAATTAAAGATTTAAAAAGTTCATAAAATAAAGCAGAATTAAATTATAGGGAGCAACTAGGAGTCATTTCTTTCTTTTCAGATCTAGGAGCTCCTAGAAGTCTCCCTCCTTTAGGAGATGCATAGGGAGCATGGTTGGAGTTATATTTTTTCAATTCCTCCCTAAAATTTGTCTAAAAAGGTGGTTTAGAGAGCCCACTGTAAATGCTTTTATGGGTTACATGGGTTTGCTTGGAAATAGAATGAAGACTTCTAGGCTTTTTATAATAAATACAAAATAGAGGGTTCTGGGAACTCATTTGGATTTGAGGTTAGGGTTTAACCTTATTTGTTCTCCACATATTAGTTTAGTTTCTTCAATTGTATAGGATTTTTATTCCTTCTTCTGATATACAAACCATATTGGAGCAGAAGGAATTGAAAGCATGACCTTGGGTGAAAAAAAAAAGTTCTTAATTTACTTGAGTTACCAATACTTTTATATATATATATATAAGCGATATTGGGGGATTGGGTTTTTTCACACACATACACTGTTAAAGGTGTCATGAGAGTTCAAATATGAGATCATTGGTCTACAAGTTAAGGTCATTGGACTAGACCTCGTTGGTTGAGTTACTAGCTCCTTGCTTGTACATGATTCTTACTCCTACATGGAGGATTGGCTCATTTTCGGACTTATATGTCAATACAAATTGACTCGTGTGTATTTTTTTATGAACGTCAAACTGTGATTGCATGAAGTAACAAAACAATATTCTTCCTCAATTGTTTTTAAAATAAAAAACAATTTAAAACAATTTAAATGTGTGATTCGATAGGTGCAAGATGACCAAATTTTTGAAGCCCATTACTCTTCTTGCTTTCTACACTAATCACTAGCCACAAAAATGAAAATTCTTTAGTCACAGCCATCAAACTACCATTGTGGCATGGATATGGAAACAATATATAGAAGTCGAGAAACTTCTGGTGTGAAACACCAATAAATCTTTTTGTCCCATTTGGCATGGATAGGACTTGTCATGATCGGGCCCAAGACATCTCATTTTCATCATCCCTATCTTTAATTGGGGATAAAATTGTTGCAGAAATCTCCCCATCTTCAGTTGTTGCTTGATGGATCTTGGTTCACATTGGATGAGGTTTTCTTCTTTGGCACAATGGAGGGCCAATAGGCCGAAGCCTAAAAAAAGCAAATCCAAATTGAACTGGCCAGCTCAAACTTCAAACCATATAATTCTATAATTTATTTAAACACTAGAAAATAATTCTGTGAAGACTGAGTATATATAGCTGTAGCTTTTAACATAGTTTGATCATCCTATCCATATATATTTTGTTAGTATGAAAATTGTATTGTCATTTCTTAGACTCTAGCACAGGTTGTAAATTAGGTTGTGAGAAATTGTTACTGGACGTTTTGGTACAACTCATTCAACCCCATACTTCCGAGGCATGACTTGACCATATGAGAAACTTGACAATAAGTAAATCATGACATAATCATGCATTCAGAATAGGATTTATAATTAAAACTATTTTTTATTTAAGTTTAAATATTGGTCGTTTGGTGTCGTCACTATGAGTCCTTATTGAATCAGATTTTATATCCATAATTGGATAATTGTTTAGTGTCTCATGAAGAGACATGTTTGCATCAGGTTTAGATGTTTGAGTTTGAATAGGTTTTAGAGTTTGTAGGGGTCTTTTTCTTCTGGCAGCTACAAATGGACTGGGCCGCTGTAAGGAGTGATTTGGTGGAATTACCCCCTTGTGTCTGAGTTTGAAGATAAAGCCCCGAGGATGTTTCGAAAGGGTAGTGAAGCCTTAGGAAACTCCTTGGTTACCTTCACCAATGAAAATAACAACAAATTACAGATAAATCTTCTAGCTTTGCATGAGAGGCTTGTGGCATGGGAGCAAAAATTGTCATGAGTTTAGCACTTAAGGAGAAAGAGCTGTGAGTTCCTGTGAGAGACATAGGTTCTAATGGAGAAAGGGGTTCTAAGGAGGTTTGGTGGAGAGGGAGAAGGATGGGGAAGAATGATGGGTGGCCTTAGCAGTTTCCGGCAGCTTGACAGAGACTCAGTCAATGCTATAGCAAACTGCCAGAAAAAGTAGGAGTGAGCATTATAACCAAAAACCCGATCGAACCGCCCGAACCGGACCGCTTTAGGTGGTTTGGTTCAGTTTTTATACTAAAAAATCAAAGAACCAGTACAAAAACCGCCCGAATCGGCTCCAAACCGCTGAAAACCGGACCGGACCGAGTATTTTAATTATATTATTAATTAAACAAAATAATACACATGTCAGCGGATGATTAGTGGATTCATTGGCGTATCGTACTCCTTCCTACACCAGATTATACGAAACCCTAACATTTGAAGGGCTTCGAAATGTTTTCTCATTGCGCCTCTTTCTTCTTCCTCTGTCACCCGACTCTCTCGTCTCTGCCTCTCTCAATCACTCTCGCCTGAGTCGCCTCTGCCTTTTCTTTTTTTTCCAAATTTTCTCAGCCGATCTCTCAGTTTCTCTCTCACCCGCTCTCTCTCATCACTTGACTCTCTCAGTGACTCAAGTTCCTCTTCTTCTTTTTTTCCAGATTTTCTCACCCGATCTCTCAGTCACACTCTCTCTCTCACCTGCTCTCTCTCAGTCACTCTCTCTCTCTCACCTGCTCTCTCTCAGTCACTCTCTCTCTCTCACCTGCTCTCTCTCAGTCACTCTCTCTCTCTCACCTGCTCTCTCTCAGTCACTCTCTCTCTCTCACCTGCTCTCTCTCAGTCACTCTCTCTCTCTCACCTGCTCTCTCTCAGTCACTCTCTCTCTCTCACCTGCTCTCTCTCAGTCACTCTCTCTCTCTCACCTGCTCTCTCTCAGTCACTCTCTCTCTCTCACCTGCTCTCTCTCAGTCACTCTCTCTCTCTCACCTGCTCTCTCTCAGTCACTCTCTCTCTCTCACCTGCTCTCTCTCAGTCACTCTCTCTCTCTCTCTCTCACACTTGCTCCGACTCTCGTCTCCCTTAGACAATTTCTACATGGTTCTCTCTCAGCCACTCCTGCTCTCTGTCAGCCGCTCTCTCTCAGTCTCTCTCGCTCTCTCTCAGTCATTCTCAGTCTCCCTCTCTCGAGTTTTGTAGGTTTGAGGTATGAATATGTGTAAACCCTAATTAAAATTTTTTAGGGATTTGACAATTTTTGTTAATTCTATTTATCTGATCTGACTCTGTTGTGATTTTTTGTGGACAGAATTGATTTTGGGATCATAGGAAACGATTGGCTTGCTCTAGGTAATTTCTGGTAATTTCTGTTGTTGTTGCTGTTTGATTTATCATTTATTTCTGGTGTTGTAATTTTAAAGTATACTATCTGCATTTGATGAGATCTTGAGGTAGTTTAAGCATTATATATAGATTAGAATGCCGAGCAAGCAGCAATGAATTTTTTATTTAAGTTGCCATATCTGGTAAATGAAATTGTATACAACTCTGGTTAGAGTTTATTTAGTATTGTATTATTTCACCCTTTCAAACTTCGTGTATTATTTAGTATTGTATCATAGTTTATATAATTTTTTTGTAATGCCTTATTTGTAAGTTAATTCTATTTATATATTCTGACTTTTTATATAATTTTTTTTCTGCGCAGAATTGATTTGAAGGCAAATTTTTTTTTTCAGATTGGCTTGCTGGCTGTGCATATTTTCTTGTATGGAATTGTTGCTGTTTTATTTGCTATTTTTGCTGTATTTTTGTTATTTTTGGAAAGAATTGCATAATTCAATAACGTGATTTGGGAGATATTGAGTAATAATTTAATTTGTATGATTGGTTGCTGTTTCGGCTGTTATATTTATTTTTGATTGCTGTACCTCTGGATTTTATTTTCGTAGGGTATTATTAATTTCATGGAAGGAGAATCTGAAACCCCTCTTTCAACTAACCCACCACCACCACCACCACCACAATCAGACCCTCCACAATCAGCCCCTAGCAATTCAAATGTTTACTAACTGTTTTTTCTTTCTTTGTGCAGAGGTGCAAATCTGATTTGAATATGAAACAACTCATGGAATTGTATGTGTATATGTAATGAAAATTTATTAGTTTTTATTTGGATTTTCTTTTGAACTTTGCAAATATGCAAATTGTGATTGAGATTACTCTCACAATTTGCTATGGACTGTAATAATAATTAATTTCCGTATTTGGAGATGTGTGGTGGATGATGATTTGCTATGGTTTTAAGGTTTTTTTAAGTATTTGAATGATGAAAACTTCAGATATGCAGATTTGTCAAAACAGGAAAAACTATGCAGAAACTGTCAAAACTTGAATTGTTGAAATCTGACAAAAACCAACAGAATGGGCCTGGAAAACTGAAAAAAAAAAAAAAGCTTTCAATTGTTGCCTTTGTTGGGCATCGGCAAATACCCGAACCGAACCAACCCGGCCCGATCAAATCGGGTTTCGACTTAAGTTGAAAATGGGCCTAAAAACGAGGTCCACGGTTTAGCTTTTGGGCCTGCCAACAAGGTCCGGTTCGGCGTGTGGTTTGGGCCCATAACCGACCCAACCCGACCCGTGCACAGCCCTAAGAAAAAGGGAAATAAGGGAAATAATGGGAATAGACAAGTAAAGCACGAAAATTACTGAGTTTGCAGGTAAGAGAGGAAGGTTGCTCTCTGAAGAGTGGATTGATTTGTTGGGGTAGAAGATGCCTTATTTATAGCTGCTGGGATTTGTTCTTCTCCAAGAAACCCTAATAGTTTCTTTCCAATCTAGCCAAGCTTTCCTCTTCCTTTCTTCTCCTCCCTCTTGACTTACCTCATAGTGGTAACAATCAGCTCTACCCAATCCCAAAAAATCAGAGATTTTTGGGAGCTCAATGCTCTTCCCGCGGCTGGTCCAATGGAGGACTTCTATTTTCATCCATCTCCTTTCTCTTCTTTCCTCCTCTTTCCTTCTCTTTCAATGGCCAAATATGATGAAGAAAGGAAACAGGTATGTATGTTGGTTCAAAGGATGGCATCATCCCCTGCGCGCCAATATCCCTTGGTCCCTTGAATGCTTTCGCTTTGAACTTGTTCCTTCCATGTGGAGCCTCCCAGTAGCCCTTCACATATGGATCCCCGGGCTTCTTCGTGGCTTTCTTCTTCAACCAAGTGCTAAGGGCCTTGGATCCCTTTTATTCAAATTGCATGGGCCCTTTAATATAGAAAGTCAAGTCATCCAATAAGTGGGTTAAGTTCACCAAATATTTGGGCTTCATGGGCTATCTAAGGTAATGGGTTATTTTTTTTACTAAGGTGATGGGCTATTTTCTCCTTTGCACTTACCCATATATTTGGGCCTAAGAAATGGGCTTGAGTCCCGAGGCTCCCAAGCAACCCGGACTCCTCATTTCTTGGCCCATCAATGGGCCCCATGATAATTTATTTCCATCCATACCACAACCCACTCAAGCAAGCCCCAGGCATTTGAGTGGCTTGGGCCCACTTAAGCTTGTAGTACGATTGGGTGTGAAATAATAATTTCCCGTTTGGCATGGCATGTCGCTTGGCACGCTTTTAATTATGACGCTCGATAGGATAATTGGCATGAATTTGCAGAGCTAAATGCATTTTTATAATTTTAATATCAATTTCTAGCATGACAGATTTTTATTTGGCATGGCATGTGGGGTGTGGCTTGTGCATGGCAGACTTTTGTGTACTCCAAATCGGACCTTTTCTCAGTAATATATCGTTTTGTGCTAGGAATTTATTCAGGCCAAACCATGGATTTTTCGGGCCTCAACAGAGTTATTGTTGCATGGTAATTGTGGCAACAAGGTTTTCTCACGAAGGTGAGAAGCCCTCTTTGAATAAAAGCACCGCTGATTAATCTTCTAGTAGGACTTTTCAAGGCAACTATATTTTCAGCATATTGCATCTTTGAGGAAAAGTCTGTTGTGCTTATTTTCTTTGGTAATTCATCAAGTGCTCCTTTGTTGCTTGGTGACTTATCGAATTTATTCATCATTCATAATTGCATACATATGCATGTCGGTGACTCATAATGGTTCAGGGCACCAAGACTGTTGGGGCGTTTATCCTCCGGTGAGCTTGAAGCGATCGTGACCAGTATTGCGTTCAACATAAGGAGTGTCGAAGATCATCCCATGACAGAAGTTGAGTTACGAAGAAGTCGGTAAACATTATCTAGAATGTATCTAGGATAAGTGTGTGAGTACTTCTTGTAATTATCGTTTTATAGTGGATTTGTGTTGAACTGAGGAGTCCCGTGGATTTTCCCCAGATGTGGAGTTTTACCACGTAAAATAATTCTCTGCGTGTTCTTTTATTTTATGCCCAGCACGTTTCAGGATTGATAAACCATATCAATCTTGCTACCAAAGTTTATTTTCTGTTTATTGATTATAATATTAAATCCCTCTAGGCTTTTTTAGTCATCCTACAGGTATTATCATATTTAGCAATTGATACATGCATGCTTCTGTTTTTGTCGTTCGAACCCTCCGAAATTAGTACGTATTGACTCCAATCAGAGCTTGCCACTTTGAAGATCGATTGTTCTTAGATGCTCTATTTTTCTACTGAGGAGAGACACTCTCAAAGCGCTTGCAGCCTCTAATTTGGACATGTACAACGTTGTCAGCTCCATCTGTGCCATTGATGATCTCGCAGCATTGTCTACGTGGTGCCTGCACATTCCACCATCATTTCCCAAAACATATGTTAGGCAACCTTACATAACCAAACATTGCAAGATATTTAGACACCAATAAAATTGTGCCAAAACACGTTCTTATAACTTTATGACCATGAGAAGACTCACTTTGGAAATCAACTACGCCACTTAATTTTCCAAGAAAAAAATTCAAGCTAGTGAAAGAGATATATTTCATTTACCTTATTCCACAAGTCAGGGTTGAATTTGGGAGCGGAGACGTTGAAAAATTTAACTGCCAAAGCACTAGCGTAGTTACATTTAGGACAATCATTTTCCTCTTTTCCCATATTATACCTCTTGTAACCAGTCAAGGTCTTACCCCCACCAACACTCTCAACCCGATCCAACATAAAAACAATGGGTCTCTCACACGTGTCTGAACTGACGGGTTGGGTATTAAATGTGAACGGGCCAGTGTCCCAACTCCTCCACGTCTGAAATGTCTCTACCGCAGTTTCTAACTTCTTAGCAGTCACCAAAAACGGATACAACTGCACAGTGTAACCCCAAGACACCGAAACAGACCAATTACGGTTCAAGTAATAACAAAAACTATGTTGCAGGATCCGACCCGGATCCACTTCATACCCGTTCACCAACGTTTCCACCGAGTCAATCTGAGTTAGGTTTGGACATATTGACTCCATATAGTCCAAATGGTGGAGTGACACTAGTGGGGCCACCGGGTGCGCCGCTAACAAACCGTACGGGCTTCCACGTATATCGAGCTGGTGGAACCCGAGTTCTTTTGTTAAGGGCACTCCGATCTCGCTCAAACAACCCTGAATCTTTTGATCTGAGCCGTAGAATTTATCATACCGATCAATGCACCCATCTAAGATCTCAACAAGCTAAGTAGCCAATGGGTAACTAATAGCAAACCCGCCTCTGCCGTAGGCCATAGTGTACGAGTGTATCACATCTTGTTCCACGCTCTCCGAGTTGCCGCCAATATAATACATCTGATTGTGATCGTATTTCGCTAACACCGAAACTAAGTTGTCAATGAAAAACACCGTATCATCATCTCCCATAACGAACCACCTCACGTTTGGCAACCCCAACTCGAAGCTTTCCTTTACGATTCTGGCTATGCGAACCGCGGACCGGGAACCATACCAGCAGGAGTATTTGAACCGTGACGTGTCCTCGGAGACTTTGTACGGCGGGACCGTCTCTGGCCACGTCATGTTGGGGAATGGTTTTTCGTCAAGCCAGACGAAGCCGCGGGTGACGTTAGGCTTCCACCACAGCTGGCTGTAGTATCGGCGTTTGTTCCATAACTTCACCGAGCCTCCGATGCCAAACAAAATGTGGGATATATTTGTCTGCTCGTGACCTTCGATTGAGACGCTGCCGTTTTGGTTAAACTTGGTGACTGTGTTAATATGGGGTTGGGGGAAATGGGAGTAATTTGAGAAAGCAAAGTAGAGGATGAGAGAGATGGAAGCGACGGAGCAAAGTGCTAGAGTGGATTTAATGGCGAGAGAGAAGAAATCTATGGCTTTGATTGTGGGGGAGACTGGGAACTTCCATAAATTAAAAGGATGGTCGTGAAGGGTTTCTCTTGTACATGACATAATTAATATGGAAAACCTCTATCACAACTTAAAATCATATAATTCAAACACGAAATTGCAGAAAAAGAAAGAAAGTTTGTTCTACCAAATGAACAGACACAAAATGAAAGAGAGACGATAAAAAAAAAGGAGAAAGTTTACAAATTGATGATTTAATCGATGAAAACAGAGGAAAACAAGAGTTGGGTTTGTTAAAAAAAGGGCGGGAAGTTCATAGTACCGGTGCTCTGTTAACAGTCGCGATGGTTGCTGAGATTGAAGCAGCCATTGATTGCACAAGTCAAAAGCTTGCAATCAAATGAAGGGTGGAAATGTTTGAAGGAACAATATGAAGTCTTTGAACAGAAATAAATAAAACTGAAACTGTTGTCGAGCGTTGTCTCTTGGGAAGGAGAGAAAAGCAGGGTACACGAATTTATAGGAGGGAGAGAGGTTCTGGAGTGAAAGTGAAATGGAAACCATGGGAATTGGCTTACGAATTTCCAACGGCCACACAAATGGGGATTGGCGGTATTACGTTTCTCACTGTATCCTGGTGAGGTAGTGGACGTTGGTTTTGGACCTGTGGGTAGTTAGTGTATCTCCCTAAATTATTTTCTTACACAAATTTTAGGAGCTCCTAGAAGTCTCCCTATTTTACGAGGTGGATAGAGAGCATGGTTAAAGTTGTATTTTTCCAATTCTTCCCTAAAATGCGTCTAAGAATGTAGTTTAGAAAGCTCATTATGAATGCTCTTATGGGCTACATGGTTTGCTTGGAAACAGAATGAAGACTTCTAGGCTTTTTATAATAAAGACAAAATGTTCATTTGGATTTGAGGTTAGGATTTAAGCTTATTTGTTCTCCATATAGTAGTTTAGTTTCTTCAATTGTATAGGATTGTTATTCCTTCTTATGATATACAAACGATATTGGGGGAGAAGGAATTGAACGCATGACCTTGGGTAAAAATAAAAGTTTCTTAATTTACTTGAGTTACCAACACATATATATATATATATACACACACACACAAGCTATGTTAGGGGATTGAGTTTTTTCACATACACACATTGTATTAAAGGTGCCATGGGAGTTCAATTATGAGATCATTGGTCTGCAAGTTAAGGCCATTAGACTAGACCTTGTTGGCTGAGTTACTAGCACCTTGCTTGTACATAATTCTTATTTCCGACATGGAGGATTGGCTCATTTCCAGACTTATATGTCAATACAAATTGACACGTATGCATTTTTTTATGAGTATCAAATTGTGATTTGCATGAAGTGACAAAATAATATTCTTCCTCAATTATTTTTAAAATAAAAAACAATTTAAATGTGTGGGTCGATTGGTGAAAGATGACCAAATTTTTTAAGCCCATTACTTTTCTTGCTTTCTACACTAATCACTAGCCACAAAAATGAAAAATCTTTAGTCACAGCTACCATTGTGGTCCAAGAAACTTCTGGTGTGAAACACCAATATTTGTCCCATTTGGCATGGATAGGACTTGTCATGATCGGGCCCAAGACATCTCATTTTCGTCATCCCTATCTTTAATTGAGGATGGATCTTGGTTCACATTTGTTGCAGAAATCTCCTCATCTTCATTTGTTGCTTGATGGATCTTGGTTCACATTTGTTGCAGAAATCTCCTCATCTTCATTTGTTGCTTGATGGATCTTGGTTCACATTGGATGAGGTTTTCTTCTTTGGCACAATGGAGGGCCAATAGGCCGAAGCCCCAAAAAAGCAAATCCAAATTGAACTGGCCAGCTCAAACTTCAAACCATATAATTCTATAATTTATTTAAACACTACAAAATAATTATGTGAGGATTGGGAATACATAGCTATGGCTTTTAACATAGTTTGATCATCTTATCCATATATATTTAGTAATTGATACATGCATGCTTCTGTTTTTGTTGTTGGAACCCTCCAAAATTAGTACGTATTGACTCCAATCAGAGCTTGCCACTTTGAAGATCGATTGTTCTTAGATGCTCTATTTTTCTACTGAGGAGAGACACTCTCAAAGCGCTTGCAGCCTCTAATTTGGACATGTACAACGTTGTCAGCTCCATCTGTGCCATTGATGATCTCGCAGCATTGTCTACGTGGTGCCTGCACATTCCACCATCATTTCCCAAAACATAGGTTAGGCACACACACTAATAGTCAACCTAGTGATAAAAATTCAAGCTCGTGAAAGAGATATATTTCCTTTACCTTATTCCACAAGTCGGGGTTGAATTTGGGAGCTGAGACGTTGAAAAATTGAACTGCCAAAGCACTAGTGTAGTTATATTTAGGACAATCTTTTTCCTCTTTTCCCATATCGTACCTCTTGTAACCAGTCAAGGTCTTACCCCCACCAACACTCTCAACCCGATCCAACATAAAAATAATGGGTCTCTCACACATGTCTGAACTGACGGGTTGGGTATTAAATGTGAACGGGCCAGCGTCCCAACTCCTCCACGTCTGAAACGTCTCTACCGCCGTTTCTAACTTTTTAGCAGTCACTAGAAACGGATACAACCGCATAGTGTAACCCCAAGACACCGAAACAGACCAATTACGATTCAAGTCATAACAAAAACTATCGAAACAGACCAATTACGATTCAAGTCATAACAAAAACTATGCTGCAGGATCCGACCCGGATCCACTTCATACCCACTGGCCAACTTTTTCACCGAGTCAATCCGAGTTAGGTTTGGAAATATTGACTCTAAATAGTCCAAATGGTGGAGTGACACTAGTGGGGCCACCGGGTGCGCGGCTAGCAAACCGTACGCGCTTCTACGTATATCAAGCTGGTGGAACCCAAGTTCTTTTGTTACGGGCACTCCGATCTCACTCAAACAAGCCTGAATCCTTTGATCTGAGCCGTAGAATTTATCATACCGATCGATGCACCCATCTAAGATCTTAACAAGCTCAGCAGCCAATGGGTAACTAATAGCAAACCCGCCACCGCCGTAGGCCATAGTGTACGAGTGTGTCACATCTTGTTCCACGCTCTCCGAGTTTCCGCCAATATAGTACATCTGATTGTGATCGTATTTCACTAACACCGAAACTAAGTTGTCAGTGAAAAACACCGTATCATCATCTCCCATAACGAACCATCTCACGTTTGGCAACCCCAACTCGAAGCTCTCTTTCACGATTCTCGCTATGCGAACCGCGGACCGGGAACCATACCAGCAGGAGTATTTGAACCGTGACGTGTCCTCGGAGACTTTGTACGGCGGGACCGTCTCTGGCCACGTCATGTTGGAAGAGGGTTTTTTGTCCAGCCAGACGAAGCCGCGGGTGACGTTAGGCTTCCACCACAGCTGGCTGTAGTATCGCCGTTTGTTCCATGACTTCACCGAGCCTCCGATGCCAAACAAAATGTGGGATATAGTTGTCTGTTCGCGACCTTCGATTGAGACGCTGCCGTTTTGGTTAAAGTTGGTGACTGTGTTAATATGGGGTTGGGGGAAATGGGAGTAATTTGAGAAAGCAAAGTAGAGGATGAGAGAGATGGAAGCGACGGAGCAAAGAGCCAGAGTGAATTTAATGGTGAGAGAGAAGACATCTATGGCTTTGATTGTGGGAGAGAGTAGGAACTTCCATAAATTAAAAGGATGGTCGTGAAGGGTTTTTCTTGTACATGACATAATTAATATGGAAAACTGAATACTCTGAAAATAATTTTCTGGGAAATCATGAAAAGGAAGAAGAGGACGACGAGGAGAAGGATATGGGTTTTGAAATATATGAAGGTTGAAGGGAGAACATGGAGGCAGGTCCTACATACTTTGATGCCTAAACGTCTGGTTTCTAAATTGATGCCTTTAATTTAGTCACTCTTGAGACTTGACTCTTTTAATGACTCCCCAAAATATCGATAGAGAAAAAGAAATCTCAAAGAGGTTATGTCGAAGAATGGTACATCTTAAGTTAAAATGACGATCATAAATATTTTTTAATTTTTTTTTATTATAATAGAGAGAATCGAACCTTAACCTAACTTAAACATAACTTATCATATATTAAATTAAGATACGGACCAGTATAAAAAGCAATGTAGAGTCCATATTGAAACGAAGAAATTTGTTAGTTATGGCATGTTTTACCTTGTAATTAAGGAGGAGTTACACTCTCAAACCGATTGCATTCTCTAATCTGAACTTGTACCACACTATCAACAACCCCTCCTTGTGTGCCGTTGATGATCTGACAACATTGTTTACGTGGTGCCTGCCCATTTCTCCAACATGTTAGGCACTCATCAAATATAATGTCAAAGAAATGTACACAACAAAACAAATAATAATTCCATGCATATATGCCACTAATTGCGCTGAACTATTACACAGCAAATTCAGCAGAAGATTTAGGTGCTTTCTGTTTATCGTTTTCTTCCCTCCACAACTTATTTTGACTATCTGGTCAACGAATCTTGATCTTGGGTCAATGTCTCTAAAGCATTTCAGTTTAGTAACTAATCAAAAAAAATTATGACAAAAATATCAATGAAACTAAGGACGTTTTGGAACTATGGACTGTACATAGTCCAAGTGGTGGAGACCAAGCTCCCACGTATGTCAATCTGGTGGAAACCAAGCTCTTTTGTTAAGGGCACCCAATCTCACTCAAACAAGCCTAGATTCTTTGATCTGAGCCGTGTAATTGATCGTACCGATCGATGCACCCATCTAAAATCTTTGACAAGCTCAGCCGCCAATGGGTAGCTTACAGCAAACCCACCTCCACCGTAGGCCATAGTGTACGACTGTATCACAACTTGATCCACACTCTCCAAGGTCCCGCCAATATAGTGCATTTGATTTTGATCGTATTTCGCTAACACCGTAACTAAGTTGTGAGTTAAAAACACCGTAGCATCATCTCCAATAACGAACCACCTCACGTTTTGCAACCCCAACTCGAAGCTCTCTTTTACGATTCTCGCTATACGAACCGTACACGCAGGAGTATTTGAACCGTGACGTGTCCTCGGAGACTTTGTAGGGTGGGACCGTGTCTGGCCACGTCTTGTTGTGGTGGTCTAAATTTGGTACGCAATCTAGTGAATATTTGTCACATAATCGTTCAATAGAGAGATAAGCCCAAACCTACGATATTGGGCCATGTTTTTTTTTTAAATTGAAAAAAAAAAAATCAAAAGCCCAAACCTACGATTCATGGGTTCGTGTACAACAACTGCAATGGATTTGGAATGCATTGGTTCGAAACCAATATAATTTCATCAATCCATATCTGGTCCAATATAGATTGAATTATGATTATTTTTTTCAATCCAATTCGAGTACATTAAAAGTTTGAATCCAATCCAATCCGATCCAATTGATACTGAATTGGATTGGATTGGATGATAGGTTTTCATCATAATAAAAAATAATAATAATGAAATATGAAAAATTTATCCCCAAGTTTAATATAATCAAACATTTTAATAGACATAAATGTAAAATATAAATGAAATGGTAGAGAAAATTATTTTAATTTTATAATATATTAAACATAACTTCATCAAATTACTTAAAATATTTATAACTTTCTCAATGAAAATTACCTAATGAGCAAAATAAGCATGAACCTAACTATATTAATTGGATTGGATCCTCACAAGCAAATCCGTCATCCGATCAAATCATGTCGGTTTTGGAATTTAGGGATCCAATTCAATCTGCCAAATCATTAAAACTGATTAAAATTAGATTGGATCTTGCACACCCCTAGAAGATACACTAAACTTGGGCATTGTTTGTTTCCACATAGGCTTGTAATGTATTACTAGGGAAAGGCTGGTGGACGACTATTAACCGTAAATTAGCCTCAATTTCACTGTAGAGCCCACACTAATCTATAATACAATTTCGTGAACTATTGTCTCTAGCAAAACTCATATTAGAGTCATAGAATATGCAGTCCATCGTCATTGACATATGTGTGTGCAGTGCATCCATATTTGAATATTGAAATTCATGAACCAAAACAAAAAAGTACATCCTGCACGTAGAGGAATATTAGAATGCAAGAATAGATCATGTTTTTGTAAAAGATAAATATGATGAACGAGAGTACTGTAACATAATCAGAAAGCTATATATATGATATATGTAAATTTCTTTTTTTCGCCCAAAGTTAGGAAGGGAGAGAGAGAAAACTCACACATACGGATACCGTGGGGCTTTCATGTACTTCAATGCATGAGATAGTTTGCAATTTAAGTGAGTTTTTAATACATACGTACCTTGTTTACATTTTGAAAGAGCATGCAGGCCAGGTAGGATACGATTTCTCTAATTAATCCTCTTGTGCTCTCTGTCGTACCAATCACCGATCAAATTAAGGAACAACCCTAATTCTAACTTCAAGAAACTTCTTCTCAACCTGTTTTGTTAAATTTCTGCTTTAAAAAAAAAAAGAAGACCTTTTTGTTAAATAATTCCTGCCAGATGCCATTTCAGAAAGTGGGAGAGAGAAGCTGTAAATCAAACCTACGAATTAGCCGATGATCAATTTCATAATTAATATATAATACATAATACATATCATCCCTTTAGCACACAAAAATTGCTCTAAATATAATCCCTTCAAAAGTGATCATCAAAATCAAAAGAACTCTCTTGTGCTCAAAGTGCTTGGTGTCTCAGTCGGCTCAGGTCCTAACCGGAGCTCCAAGTCCAATTCCTCAGCCCTCTTCATCATCTCTTCATCCCTGCACCCTCCACTTGTACACTCTACAGTAATTTTATTAATGTCGACAGTACAGGCTAATCCGGATGGCTCCTCTACAAACAATGGAAGCTGAAGCTGAACTTGAACTTCTTCAATGCTAACTTTTCCCTTATTCGTGGCGTCGATGATCACAACATCATCATCTTCATCTCTGGTAAAAGGGTATGATAATATTGGGTTTCTGGGGATGTTGGTTTCGTTTAATTCCATTTGTATTGAATTTTTGTCCTCCGAATTAGCACGACTGTGATGAGCACTAGGGTTTTTGGTAATTCCATCAGTGGAAGAAATATTTGCAAGCTGGTTTTGATCTTCGGAGAATTGTCTGATCCGGGCTCTATCTCTTCGATGAATGTTCATGTGACCCCCGAGAGCCTGCGCGTTAGAGAAGCTTCGGTTGCAGAAGGTGCAGGTGTAAGACTTTGCCTGCCCTGAGCCACTGCTATGGTCATCCGATGAGCTCCATTTAATCTGATCAAATTTTTCGATATTATTGCTGGAGTGATTTCTCTCCATAAAGAACACACACTTACACAAACAGACTCACAGAGAGAGAGAAAGATGGAGAGAGAGAGAGAAGATAAGAGAAGACATTAAGGTGGTCAACTGGTCGGTTAGGTAGTGTGAGAAATTTTCACATAGAAACAAATATCCGTAGGGACTACTACTTCTAGACAAAAGTTAGCATGCATGAAAAAATAATAATATTTTTGGTCAGAGGAATTTTGGTTTTTTTTATCAGCAAAGGCAGGGATTATATATTATTAAGAAAATAAAACGGGAGGGACGTATATTTAATTCGATTTTTTTTTTTATTGAAATGTGACATCGAGGTTTTTGGAAGTTTTTGAAATTTGTTTTTAAGTTGTGACCAGCTGCCAGCCAGCAGGGTAAACAAAATTAATATGTCCCAAATGCATGCTTGTATACGTATTTTTTGTGGTGGAGATATATGCAAAAAGTTAATCTATTTAATTCTTGATAAGCGTGGAAAGTTACTTTATTTATTATTATAGTGAATGAAAACTTAATCTTGCAACTGAAGTTAAACTCTTCACAGGAACCAGGAGCCTGTAAAATTAAATGCAGTAATTTCTGCTTAATTACTGCTACATGTAGTAAAAGAAACGGCAGATTTCGACTTCCCTACTGAGGTATATGCTATATACAGCGATGTTAACTCAAGTTCTCTCTTCCTTAGTTAACTTGTTAATTACCTCAATTAATTGATTAAAACTTTTAATGAGACCGTTTTGCTATTTACTAGTCGAACTTAATTATATGAAATTAGTGGAGTCAAGTTAAGTTTAAACGGATACTGGGAATTAAACTCGGGTTAACTAGTTTAATAAGATATTTTCGGTTAAATACTTTAATGTTTAACATTTCAATTTAGTTGTCAACGGTTTAGTCAAATAAAAAATGACTTTTTATTACAGACCAAGGTCTCATGTTCGAATTTCCATACTCAATTACACATGAATATACGTTTTTAATCTCCAAAAGAAAATAAAACGCAAAAAACAAAAGAGAGGGGGGGTGTGGGGTGGAGAATATAGAACTTGATATAAGTTGACCTTTTTTTTTCCCATAGATTCCTAGGTTTGTTTATTATTTGCCGAAGACCACAAGGGTATTGTCCTAAAAGGTAAAAAAGACCAGATATGGATAATACTTAGGTGCACTCTTTGGATGCATGATTAAAGAATATTCACCATACACATGTCATAATTGGAATTTTTTATTTCTTAAATCATAATTTAAAGATCATATCTGTTTATATAAAAAAATCAATCAATCAATCAAGTGAAGATCGTTTAGTAATTCATATGTGTCTAAACAAATTTCGATGATTTTGTGAACAATTAACATTCTCATGATGAGCTAGACAATCTCCAATTTGATTGGTTTATTTTCTTTTTAGAAATGATCTTTAAATGGTTATTAGAAAATAAACGGTTTCGATTATGACATGTATATATACGATGAAAATTCAAAAAGAAAATCTAAATAAATTCATACGTACGATACGAGATCAACGTATATAACTATATAGTATTGAAACTACAGAAATTGAGATTTATTTATTTATTTCTTCTTGATAAGTAAGTTTCTGTAAAAGCCTTTGATGACGGATGTGATGAATTGACAAGTAGTGAATTGCAATGGTTAAATTATGCATTGACATCACCATCGGTTGAGACTTGAGAGCTTACGTGCAATTAGGTACCTAACACCTCCAAAATGTTGCTTCGCATGCATGATGATGAATGATGCCAGATGTGACGATAGTTATATAATGACACTTCTTAATTTGTGTTGCTGAGTTGCTTGGGATAATGGATAAATATTCCATAAGTGCCTGTTATTCTCTCTCAACCAACACAATAAAGAAAAACACAACCATGAGACGTGGTGTGGTGGTAGCTCACCTCATTCCTTAACCATGTGGTTGGGGGTTCGATCCCCGCCCATGGGAATGGAGCGCATTTCGTGGCCAGCCGTTTACCTTCTTTGGGAGAGCTCCCGCGGCGAAAGGGATTAGTCACTGTTGTCGGCGGTGGACACCCTTGGATCTCATCCAAAAAAGAAAAACACGAAAATTTAAAAAAAATAAAAAAGAAAGAGAGAGAAATTGGCTGTTACTGGCAATAATATTGCATTACAATAGTCATTCACCACCGTCCAAAATCATGATTGGATAGAGATATGGATGTGAGGTTTTGATCATGTATCATAGATGCTGAGAAATGTGGCTAGAGGGGACGTTCATGCAAGTGATCCGGTAACCGACAATTTCATCATAAATTAATATACTATTGATATTAACATATATATATATATATATATATATATGTATATATATATTATATAGTTTCTTCTGTTCTAAATATAATTTAGAATCAAGATTGACAATCGATTGAATTCACAGTTTAACAGCGTAACATTTTTTTTTTTTAAATTAATGTTATTATGTGGATGTCATTTCGATGATTTGTTTATTTGCGAATTTAAAGTATGATTGATCTGATCGACTGTAGATGTACCTTAATTTCTTCCATAATAATCGAGTTGGTTATTCTAAAGCACTTGTTTTCAAAGCCATGGGGGATGTATTTGACTTGAATTTGTATTGTGGAATGCAGGAAGTTAAAAGGTAAAGTTCTTGTACCCTTTCTCAATCAAATGGGCATGATATATTATTATGTTGCTTGTACCAAACATCAATTTAAACACTTCTTTCTCATCCTCTCTGTATTTGTATTTGTATTTTAATCTTAACATGTATGACACAAATGGGCTTCTCAGCATTTCAAGTGTAGAAACATTAGGTGGATTTGGGGCCTCAGAGATGGTGAGTGTTAATCTCGCATTAGGCTGGGCCTGTTCCTCAAGCTTGCTTGCAGATACACTCTTCAGCCCCAAATGGATGAGATTCTATAAATAACATAGGATTAAATATTAATTCATTTGTGATAATACCAAAAACATATCACGGATCCAGTGCACGACAAACATATATCTTGTTGTAATAGACATTTCTTCTATTGAAGTTTTATTTGTATTGTTATGGTTTGTTTTTTTTAAAGCTTTATGTTTTTCGGTTATTTTGAGTTTGCAATCTTAGTTGGAATGCCTATACCAAAGTTTCTTCAATCCTAAGTGATCGTTAGTGAAGGTGCATCAAATTGTGTTAATTTTGATGTTAAATTGTTCTATTATTTTAATGGCCTTTTGTGACTAGTTTGTATTGGTCCTTTAGAGCTAGTGATTTTTCAGCTAAATTTATGAATGCAATTCTAGAATTTCTTAAACAAAAAAGTAAAAAAATAATAGACATTCCTTGCTGATAAACGAAACATCCCAACATAGGGCACCAGTGAGTTAGTCCAAAGACAGTGAATTTGCCCCTTTATACTCAAGTTTGAGTCTCATTTTGCATAAATTAAATATTCCAAATTCGAATCCCTTTTTTTTTAGATATCCCAACATACGATTGGTTGGTTTAGGTTGATCTTTACCTTGGTATGTATGATGTGATAAATATCCAAAGGGGCCTCAGATACAGATAAATTAGTGAGCTTTAGTATTTGGTGAGCTCGTGAGAGCTGGAAGTTGGAACTCCCTCCCATACAAATATACCCTTAGTTGTCAAACAATACATAAACAATTATTCCCAACACAACAACCTAATAACCCCAGAAAATTAATTCTTCAAAATTCTCATTCTTTAAACAATATATAGCTTGGGATTTGTCAAAACGCCCTAAAAGAGATAGCCCCACGCAAGCTGAGATCAGAATAATATCTCATTCTATCACTCAATTCTATAATATACCCCCCCTTATATATAGCAGAGAAAAACGACATCTGAAACCCCATGTGCTCCACTGCCAATTTCCTCCCGAGACCTCCCTCTGTCAAAAAAAACTTCAGACCTATCCAACTCACACCTTAATGAAAAACGACAATCCCTAGCTAACCAGTCACCATTAATGCCGTTTTACATAGATGTAGCTCTTCGTAGAATCCGAAGCAAACAATCTCACTTTCCCTAAACATATGTATATACAAGACCCTCCTTGTATTGTCTTAAATTTTTATTCCATCTTTCCTTTTCACATGCATCGTAGAAAACAAACTCCCACATCGAAAGAGCCTCAAATCATTAAGACAATTTTCATTTCCTAGCCTTTTATGGAATGTAATTGTTGGGTATGACTTAAATTCCTTTTCGAATAATTGCCCTTTCTCAGTTTTGCCTGTGAGCTCATTAAAGTCAAGGGGGGTTACAGTTGAGTTTTAAATATAATGAACCCAGCAGAACGATCTCCTTTGTGTCCTGCAAGAAATTAAGCACTGTACTTACCTAGCTAGCTATGGCTAGGGTTAGGGTTTATATATATAGGGGAATTATATGGACATGCCATATATAATTTATTTGATGTTGTTTATTTATAAAATCCATATAATTAGGGTTCCGTCACTGATCGATGGCTATTATCGCTAAATCATACATACAAGTTATAACACAAGAAGATCCAAAAGATGCTTAGATATATATAGAGCAGCCTAGAGATGGTGGAAGTGATAATATTCGCTTTTGTGATTAAAAAAGTTGGTATTAATTGTATAATGTGATGGTGATGAATAGTTAATTAGATTGATTCCATAGAGTTGGTGGCCATTTTGGACAGATTTGAGAGGAGGAGGAGAGAGAGGGAAAAGTGAGAGAGATAACACAAGCAAATGGATTTTAGCGGAGGAGGTTACAGAAACTGAAAGAAGAGATCTGATGGGTGATGATAATAATACAAGAGAAAAGAGAATCGATGTTGGGAAGTATCTGACTTTATGTGACTTTGAAAACCTCATCTCTCTGGAGTCTGAGTATTTTTGTGTGTGTGTGTGTGGGTAAGTTTAGTTGTCTATGACTCTATCTGATGGAATGTCAGTGAGGTACTGAATGGGAAAATGAGTCACGATATTCCATGCAGTTTTTAGTCAGTTTCTTCACCCTTCAAACCCCACAAGCATACAACACATCTACTCCTAATCTCATCATCGCCTACCTAAACTCTCTCTCTCTCTCTCTCTCTCTCTCGGGACAAGGATATTCGTTCTATAACCTAAACTCTTGACTGCACTCTTCTTTGGCTGTATCACACCAGCATGTGGCTGATATCATTTCTCTTCCATATAAACCATGATCTGTATCAAATTTACTACTTAGTTAACCTATAACTTGCTAATTACCTCAAAGTTAAATTAATTCTAACTATGTGAAGTTGGCCATAAGAGTAGAGAAAGTGTTTGAGCTCCCATTTAGAAAGAAAAAAAAAACTGTATAATTCATAATATGCACATATAGAACTGTTACTCAGAAAACTACAAGAAGAAGATGATGATCTCAAATTGTAGGCTTAGGATCATGATATTACTTTCTTAAGTAATTCCATCAACTTAGATGGTAATGACCCTGCCAAGGAACCAACAATTACACTGTAATCAATGAAATATATAATTAAAATAATAAGCTGAGATGCATTGTGATTATCAACAAAGACGAATCTTAATTTCATCCTTTTCTGTGATTCCCATATGGTTTTTGTTACACCTTACACAAATGCATAAGCACTCCAAGAAAGCCAATAGATCAAATCAATTTAAGCGAAGAGTGAAGCCTTGAGCCTCAAGATGAAAGAGGAAAAAAAAAAAGGTGCAAATAAAGAAGGAACTCATCAAACAGTGAACAAAAGGTCAAAGTAATATGTCTATATATGATCAGCAGTTGATGATGAGCCTCTGCTATTTATCAACTTTAATTACCTTAGGTCGGTCACCGAGCCTGAGCTCAAGATCTAAGTCCTCTATAGAGCTGGTGCAGCTGGTGCAGCTAAGTTCAAACCCTTCTGATTGGAGATGATGTACTTTATCAACAGAACCTGATTTTAGGAAGAAAGGTATCGATGACGGGACGTCTTCCGTTCTTCTTCTCTTGCAACTAATTATAGCTTCATCCTCATCATCTGAGACGGATGGACGAGCACAGCGAACAACCAAATTCAAACTCACAGACAAATTGTGAAGATCAGTAGTACTTGTGACATGGTGATCACCCTTAGCCCTACACCCAGATTCCACAGCTCCTGAAATCTTCTCTGCTTCAATAATATTCCTTGCAACAGATTTATCATAATTATTTCTGTTTGTGCCCAAGATTGACCAAGATTGAGGAAAAGATACAGAAGCAGAAGAAGAAGGTAGGATCTTCAGGGTTTGGTCAGCACAATTTTCTTTACATGGTAATTGAGCTGAAACCCTAGAACCTGAGGATGGTGATGAGGATGCAATAGTAGCACCGGGATCGGAACTAGGGTTATTAGGGTTGTAAGCCAAGGCACAAACTTGATGAGATGGGTATTGAAAACTACCCAAAGATGAAGAGGAGAAGGGATTATGATTTTGGACAGAATGATCATCCGGATGATGATGATTTTGGAGGGCAGTTTCATCATTTGGAGACTGCTTTAGTCTAGCCCTGTCTCTCCTGTGGACATTCATGTGGCCGCCTAGAGCTTGAGCTGAACGGAACTCTCTCCTGCAAAAGCTGCAAGAGTAAGATCTCGGAGGCCATATGCACCCTCCAAGAGGCCCGGCCGCATCTTCCGCGAAAGCTTGTTCTTCCCACGAATCATCGTTTGATGGATTGCTAATTGGCACTTGAAGATGATCATGCTGAGATGAGCTCAAACTGTTGTGCTTGCGCTTTGCCCACATCCAGTACCTTGCTTGTTCCATTACACTACCACCACCACCTCAGATTTACTCTCCAGCCAAGCTTAATTTGAAGGAAAACTCAAATTGCAAAAAAGAGGAAGAATTGAAAGTATATATGGACTTTTGAAACAAAGTAGAACTGATAGCCTATATATATTTAAGTTATAGACACTGAAAAGTACATGGATTGATATGAGGCATAAAGGGGCTGAGGTTGCTTAGGGAGGTGTTTAATTGGAAGGTGTAAAGTGGTGGGTTCTCTTCTACCTTGCTCTGTCATAGAGTTGTAGCTACTTGAATTTTTTTTTTTTTAATAAGTATTTCTGGTTGGCTTTCATCAGTACTCACTGAAATGAGAAGTGTATATATTTTTTCTCTCTGTTTTTTTCTTAGGAGGGGGAAGCAAATGGTTTAATAATAAATCAGTGTTGTGGGTCCTGAAGATGAGCGCATCTTGTAAGGTGTGGGTTTGCTTACAGACAAACTGAAACAATCTGACTGAAATCTCCCTTAAGCAAAATAGTGAATGCCAAGATGCCTCATTTCCTCCTTCATTTGTACTTAATTAGAAGCAACATCTTCAAGAGAGTCAAAGAGTCAGAGTGATCAGGAGGACACATGATATCATGCATCGTCATTATTATATCATTAGGAACAAAGATATTGCTTTATGGCTCTACCTTAGTAAGCATAATATAATGTAAAATTTTCGTATATTATGTCATCAATTTCGTATGTTATGTTATCAAATCGTCAATTAAGACAGTTACAGAGATAGAAACACATTAACAGTTCTACCATGATAGTTGCTCTACATGTATAATTCTGATTTAACAGTAAATCTTTGATTAAGAGGCTAAAAGAGTATTTAGCCGAGTTAGCCGTATATATAGGCCAGGCTGCCTTCACAATTTTAAATTCATTGTTTTCTTGGTCTCATTAATTCCAAAGATATACACGTGTGCCGAATATTATTAGTCTTCAGGGTTGACAGGGCGTCCGTTGTTGAAGTTCTGGCAAAGTACTACGTAACAACCACATCTAGAACACATGGCCCAATCCACATTCAATTAACACTAATCTCTCTTATTAATTCAACCTTAATTTCGCTTTGCATAATGAAATTAACAAGAACGTGAGAAATTAACAAAATGACAGTCAATGCCAATAGGGTCTAATCGAGTGGAAATGGGCTTTAATTGCATATCATAGGTCTTAAGTTTAAACCTCCATGACATCTTAGTTGTGTGTTTGTGTGTTTGTGTGTGAGAAACTCTCTCCCCTCTAATTTAGACTATCGCTTGTACTACAAAACACATTGTCAACCTGCATAAGCTTACTTATAGTCATTTTTTGAGTGGCTCTAACATTTGAATCCACATTTCAACAGAGTGATTATCTCCCTAAAGAAATTATGTTTACAGAATTTCAAAAACATATATATTTTGCTTCTTAATTTGTTGTTGATGGCTATATAAACATAATAAACTCACCAGTTTTAACCTTTTTATTTTGTCCACCTCAAGATGTTTCATATTGTTTCTATATCGAAGTGGGGACGTGTTTGAATCAAATTGTAAGACTTCCATGTCAATAATAAAGTCATCAGTCAACAATAACAAATTTTTTAGATTTCCAGAAATGACTGGGGATATGGTAATGGTATTGGTCAGGTCTTAAAATTTGGCTTAAACGTCTGGCCAGAGGTCCAGTTGACTGAGTGGGATATTGGATTATCCTACCTGCCAATTCAAGATCACACAGTCACACAACCCAAGATTTCAAGAAACGGGATAAGAAGATAATTTTTCTTTTGAGCCATAAATTTTAAGAAGCTTAACTGAACAATCTTCTAGTTTCGAATGAAAGCTAATGTTATTGGATTTAATTTCTATATATAGTCAAATGACTCAAAACCCAACGGATCCATAGCGCTCAAGTGTAAGAGCATTTATCTATAGATAAATAATCAGTGATTTTAAGTTCGAACTACAAGACAATTCCCGGAAATACAACAAATATATATATATATATATATATATTTACTTAAGTAAAACAAAAAGAAAGAGAAAGACCCGAGTCGTTAATTAGATCATGAAAAACACATGACAACGATTAATCAAATATATTGAGATTCTGTTTAGTGAATAATTAAATATATTCAAAAGTAGTTTAGAGTTTCAAAAACTAGCGAGGCCATAGCCAACATCACATAGCTAGATTAAACAACAAGGTCTCGAATTTTCAAAACAAGTTGGCAAGAACAGGGTTGAAGGAATGGTTTCATTATAAAAATGGAACAGGTCACATGCATATGCCTGCTCAAAAATAACCTCTGAATGAATGCATCTTGCTAAGATGGATGCCTTCATTATTAATTCAACTCAAGGACTAAGACTCTTTCTTTTTAGGTTAGAATACACAGTGAGATTGTCCTATCCAGAGAGATTCTACGGAATTAATGTCCTCATTCTCAACTTGATTTAATTAATCATACATTTCTTCACTGAGCTGGCCTGGTTTCTTCATATAAAACAATATGTAGCAAGAGAGAGAAAGGAGGGTTTCATTTTTCAAAGGCAATGAAGATGATGGTGAGGTCAAGAAATTATTTGAACTTGTGTTGGGTGAGACATGACACTGAGTGACTGCATAATAATACATGAGGATAAGAGATTTGCTTTCAACAGTCACGTATGTTTATCGCTGATACAACTTATATCATCAACTGTTGACAAACGTTCATACATACGTATAATTTAGCAGTTACAGTTATTATTTTCTTTCTTCATGTTTTGTTTCTCTGAATGTTAGTGGAATTCACTTTTACTGTTTCCATTGTTTCTCAAACAGCTAAGCAATATAAAGCAAAGACTGTACTTACCTTTCCGTCTGCTTGCTAAAAATATATAGAAATTGACAAGTAATTTTCCAACCGATTACTAATTAAATAATTATGAAGCACTGTTGGTCAGGTCATTGTCGTTGGAACTTATTATTTTAAATCAAAATACAGACAAGAGTTTAGGTGCAATAGGGGTACCTTTCTGGAATAGCTTAAAATACACGCATCTTTAGTAGATAGTATTGATTTCAACAAAATATTGCCAATAGATTGCATTAGAAGACATTCCACAAAATACCAAAAGTCTTTTTCTTTTTATTCTCTTGGCGTTCTATAATCTGGGTGATCTTAGCATCAACTATACTCTACTTTTCAAACTGAAAGACGTATATCCTTGAAGAGATTTTCTAATATTTGTTTCTTTTAATACAAGTTACATTTTTTTAATTCTCTTATGGAACAAACGTCTGTTTGTGATATTTTAATTAACTCATGATCTTTTCCAACAAAGCACGGAATAACTCAAGTACAATAATATTCTTAATCAGTCGTCTCTTAACTCTCAAGAAATATATAAGTAGAAATGTTATGTTTATAACAAGAGAATTTTGTTCAAACCATTTGCTAGGTAGCTAGACTATATATTTAATCCAAGAATAAGGGAGCTAGGGGCCATTCATTTACAAAGAAGATTAATTTGTGTAATATTAGGTATTTGGTTGCATATCGCCATCAAATATATGTCGCCTTATGAGAGAGAGATGTATACATATACGGAGGACCCTCCTTGATTGTCGAGGCAACTTTATATGCATGACATTGATTGAGAAATTAAATATAGAATTCCTCAGCAATTAACTTAAACGGCAAAGATGGCAAATATTCATCCATGTTTTCATGTGTTACGTTGTTGCACTTGTCACCTTCTCAGCTCTCTGTGTGGGCTGTTAATCCAAACTTAATTATTTTTTTAAACAAGAGGTTAATAGCAATTAATGGTCGTCATCAATCATTGTTAACCATCACTTCATTATTCTTTTTGCAAATACTTTTTGCCCTTTGTCCGCTTAGCTATCGACTTTACTGGTATGTATGTGCATGGATTTGTCTGGGTGTATTTGAATCAGAATTAGTATTTAAAGGATCAACTTGTGCATAAACGCCATGGAACTAATTTGAAAGTAGTTCCCTTTCACATTGTACCACCAGTATGTATGTCTGGAAATATGTCATCATTTCATTCAGTTGTGACGGCTCTAAATTATGCCAAATCCAAAAATAGAATTTATCCAAAGAGAATTGCTACATCAAACTTGGTAGTTGGTGATTAACAAATCAAAAATTTAGAAAATAAAAATCTTAGTATCCTTAACAGCCAATAACTCTCGGTAGTTTAGTAATATTCTTTTTCTTAACGTTGAAAGAAGTCTTAAATTTGAATTTTGGGTCTAGTCGAGTAGAAAGGAGCCTTGATTTGCATATCATAGGTCTCATATTCGAATCCCTATTGCACCTTGGTAATGTGTGTGTGTGAGAGAGAGAAACCCCCTCCTTGTAGTTTAGACTATCGCTTATATTGAAGAAAAAAAATCTCATTTTCCTGTTGATTTAAAAAACGAATAGGATTAGCGTGTGGTCAGCTCACCTAATGGGCTTAAAGGCCCAAGTCAAATTGGGCCTTGTTCAACTTCATTGTGCATCCTGGGCTTCAAGCAACAAAATTATATGAGCTTGTTGAATTGGATTTGTAACTCAAGGGTGGTACCTAAACTTTTGGAACTGAATTCTTTTTGGTAAATGATTTTCTCACTCCCCGTAAGTGGATAAAAAGAGAGTGGGAAAATCAGTCACCAATTTTTTTTTTTTATGGCAGGTATTTGGAACTGAAATCAGAATAAAGAAAATTTGACATGCATGATGACTAAAGCAGTTTGCTTTTGTAGGTTGTCAAAAATTGTATCTTGTCATATACAAATAGTTTGGGCCTTCTAAGGCCCTAATAAGAGCTCTTATCTTTTATCTGTTGGATCAAACTATCTAATTTGACTCAACGGTTAAGATATAGAACATCATCTAAGGACCCTCGCTATAGAATTTTACTTCCTATCATATATATATATATAAACTTACTATCGACCCAAGAAGGTCAATGGCCTGGAGGCCCTTCACAGCCCTAGAACTAGAACGCCTCCAGTCCACCATAATTGGTTGATCCAAGTGATCCAAACAAAAAAAATCTGATTTTCAAATGTCTCCTCACTAATAAATTAATAATGAGACAAACTATAAGTTTAAATTGCATTATAATAAGGAAGCAATTCCTTGTCATGCTGAATAATTTACACTCAAGCTTATTCAATTAATTGTGGACCAAATTTTCTTTTTCTTAATGCTGATCTTAGTTTCATTTTTTGTTTATGTTTTTTGTTTACACCACAATTGGTGGACCACTAGGAAAGCAACACGTGGACTAAAGAGGAGAATGGTAAGGCAACATTCGGCCCCCCAGATTGCCGAACGCAATGGTAGACACCAAGTACCCTCCGGACACGTGGAGCACCCACA